CATCAGTTGCTTAGCCTTACGTCGCCCTTCCAAGGAATCTCAGGAAGGCGCCGCGTAACATTACACATGCGCCTTTGAATTCCAATTTCTTGCCTTCCACATATGATAGAAAGCAGCTCCCATAGTTGCTGCAACCACTTCTTTCTTTACTGTTTCCATCGTTTCTTTTTAATGTTGTCCAGTGTGCTCGCTATGTTCCCTTCTTGCAGTTGTACACCGAGCTATCGCAGAACCTCAACTCGAACTTTTTTTAGCCAATTGCATTCAACAAATAGATGTTGATATGTTTCAGTTGTTTGTTCTTCACATAAACAGCAGTGCAGGTTTTCTATATGTATCTACAACTTCACTAGCTTCTCCTTTGTAAACAGTCGCCTTTGAGCTCCAAGCCACAGAAAAAACCTGTGTAACACTCCTTAAATTTATAAAAGTTTCAAGATACGCTAATTATTGAATTAAGTTATTATTACTATTATTATTGTTATTATTATTCTTGCCTAAAGTGAATAAATATATATACACACACTTAAATAATTGAATATACAATTAGGAAAATATTAATAATTTTAGTGTTATTAATTATTAAAAGTGGGTATCATTAATTATTAGTTAAGTTAACACACACAAAAAAAAAACGGTGCACGTGACCTAGCCCAAAAGGGTTGTGAAATATAAGACTTAAACAAAGTCTTATAGCAAAAGAGAAACAGAACACTTTTTCTAAAAAAACAAAAAACAGAACGCTGCTTTTTAACGCAGCAAACGCAGCAAACGCAGCAGAGAAATAGAAAATTCAAGGGTTCCTTACAAACCACTAATCCTTGAACTCAGGTATATAAAATTCCTTATTGTCAAGTACCCTACAGTAGTATTAGCTAAGAATTGAGTAGTTAATTCCCTTCTTCCTCTATATCATCAATAAATTTCATATTTAGGTGTAGTACTTTAAAACTGATTAAAATACACTGGTTGTTGTAGAATCGATTATTTGACTGGTATCAATTGGACTGGGACCTACGTATTGGTTCGAGAAATTTTGAGGTGAGTTGATATAACCCTTTACTAAAGTGGTTTAACTCACAAAAGCACGCATACAAGGTGTTTGATGAATTACTTAAAAGAGTTTATCTTTATTTAATTAGAGCGAGTGAGTACCAATTAATTTAGAATTGTTTTAGCAAAAGTTTAGATGATCTATTATGCTATATGTGCTTAAATTTTCAGATTTTTGTGTTGTTCTTATATTCTATTTTCATGTTGAAAATTATGAAGAAGAGAGAATCTTTGGAAATATTTTTATATGTTTATTTCATTCTTATGTCATGCTTTACGTTTAAGGACACCAATATGAGCACGTACATAATGTTCTATAAAGAAAAGATTTAGACTTGAAAAGTCACAAGAAGAAGTTTTAGAAAGAAAAGATTTTTGGGGAGTATCCTTTATTCTGAGAAGGGGTCATCGTCCAGGCCGAGGGTCCTGACCAAAGCGTTGACTTCCTGAAACTACTTGTGCCAAAGTAGGGAGCATACGAGCTGAGGGTCTCATTGCTGAGAATTTACTTAGCCATGCTAAGGTATGATACATGAGTGCTGAGAACCATGAAGCGAGTCACACCTCGTGGATTGGGCCTATTCGATCAGGTTGGGATCGAACCCGTGCTGATCACACGGTGACTGAGACAGAATTAAGTCAGGATAGTTGGAACTCCCAAAGTATAAAATGAAGTATTTTTTTTAAAGAAAGAAAAAAAAGAGAATTTCTTTTAGAATATTCATAAATTGCTATTATGCAATTATTTTAGAATTATTCTTATAAGCTTTATGTTTTACATGCATTTAGAACCTTTGCTCGTAATGTATATGTTATTAAAGGTTTCTCCCCCTGTTGTTGAGACTCACTGAGTACAGTGGATGGTACTGACGTTCTCTTTTGGGAACCTACGTTGGTCTGCGGTACAACGTAGGAACCGGATTTGCAGGCGAGCAGGCTACGAGTTAGGATTTCCTTCCCTTCCAGTGATATTGGTGAGCTCCGCTTTTGTTCGTGGAGTATTCTTAGAGTCATTTTCATTTAGCTATTTTTTTGTTTAATTAGAGAATTGGCCAGAAAATCTCATGTCCTGAGCAGTGCGTCAGTTTATCAGTAGAGGCTTCATAGACATAGTCATTGGGTTGAGATTCAGGTGTTATTTTATAATAACTTAGCAGTAATTCAGTAGTTACTACGAATAAAGCTTTCGAGTTGATTTATTTAAATATTTGAATTGATCAAAAGTATTTGTTTAGAGTATTGCTTTGTTGCATATAAAGTTTGGAGTTATAATAGGGTTGATAAGTAAAGATGGTTCGCTCGGTCATGTTTAGTGATCGAGTGCCGGTCTCGGCTTGTTCAGAAAATGGGTCGTGACAACCTGTGTTTTGGTTGTGCTACCTGTCCATATCAAATCTGCTATATGCAGTCCTTGTATTCCCCCTAATAAGGCAATGTAGCTCCTCGTTATGGAATAGCCACCACCCCTACTCAGAGTGCACCTTGTATAAACCACTCATGCATGTCCTCCTTCGGAGAGTTAATTTTCTTCAATACCAATTACAGCCGAACGGGATTTTATGGGTCCAGTTATTGGTATCAGTTTTCATATATGCACCCACTTCACCCATAGAGCTTCCTTGTTATTGAGAAGTTGCCATAATAATTTCTCAACATAGGCCACATTCCATAGTTTACTACCTTTAACATTCAACCCTCCAAACCTATTAGGAAAATATATTCTTTCCCATGCCACCAGTGCCAGCTTTTTTCTGTCTTCAGTATTCCCCCATAGGTAATACCTATATATTCTATCCACACTGTTTGAGGCAAAATGAATACTGCACTCCAGAAGTTATAAATGGAAAATAACATAGAGTTAACCACCTGCAGTCTGCCTGCATATAAAAGTTGCTTTGAGTAGCCAAGTTTTATCCTCTTGGTTATTATGTCTACTAGCTGAATGCAGTCCAATTTGTTCCATTTCTTTGATGAAAGGAGAAAACCAAGATATTTAATTGTTAAATAACCTTGGGCGAATGCTGTTTTTGCTATCAACTACTCCTTTGTCAATTCATCCACCCAGCAATGAAGATATAAGATTTATCCTGATTAGCAATAAGTCCTGATGCCTCACTACAATGATTTAAAGCTTCAACCACCCTAGTAACTGATGCCAGATTACCTTTGCAGAAGCTCATGATATCATTTGCAAAGATCAAATGTGTTAGCTTCAACTGTTTGCACATGGGATGAAATTGAAAATCTAGGAGTTCACTCATAGTTGATAGAACTCTAGACATGTATTCCATTACTATCACAAATAGTAGAGGAGACATAGGATCTCCCTGCCTTAGTCCCCTTCTCCCCTCAAAATAACCATGTCCTTCACCATTTACTTTGATAGAGAATTTGGTAGTTGTTACACATACCATAATCAAGTGAATGAATCTCTATGGGAACCCAAACCAAATCAGAACTTCCTCAAAAAATCCCCAGTCCACCATATCATAAGCCTGCCTTAGATAAATTTTCATAAGACACCTTGCAGAAGTCTTTCTACTGTAATGCCTCAATAGATCATGGAATGTTAGCTCATTATATATCATGGATCTACCCTGAACAAATGCTGCTTGATTGTCAGCCACAATGTGGCTTATGGTCTGCTTCAATCTGTTGCATACCATCTTAGATATACACTTGTACAAGACATAGCAACAAGAAATAGGTCTGTAATGGCTAGCATACTCAGGCCTATCCACCTTAGGAATCAGTGCAATGTTGGTTGTGTTTAGTTGTTTCAGGAATTGACCATTCTCAAAGAACTCTAGGACAGCTTCAGTGATGTCTGCTCCTACAATTCCTCATGCTGATCTATAGAACCTACTACCAAAGCCATCTGGTCTACGACTCTTATTTTTGTCAAAGTTGAAACATTGCTTCTTTGACTTCTTTCCCGGAATAAGGTCTGATTAAGCTTACTTATTGCTCTAAGGGTAGCACTGGCCCTCTTTTCATAAAGTTGCTGAAAGTTCTAACTCTAGCATTTGTGGTCTTTCCCAGTAAGTTCTCATAATAGTCTACAAATACCTAAGCTATGTCATCTGGATCATTCTGCCAATTGCCTTGTTCATCCCTTATCTGTGTTGTAGCTAATTTCATTCTCCTGTATTTAATCACAGCATGGAACTACCTTGTATTGTCATCTCCCAATCTTAGCCAAGTAGCTTTGCTTTTCTGTTGTAAGTAGATTTCTGCCATATGTGAAATCTTTCTAAACTGTAGATACACCTCTCTTTCCTTCTGCTGCATGCCCTTATCCAGTGGATTTGCTTGTAGCTTCTCCTGTATCCTCCTGAGTTCCTCCCTAATCTCTTCTACTTCATTTACTAAGTCCTTGAAGTACTTTGAATTTAGTTGCTTCAGTCCTTTCTTTAACAGCTTCAATCTTCTTTCAACTCTCAACATTTTGCACCCTTCAATCTGCACCTCCTACCCAGCCTTGACAGTGATGTCAAACAAATGATGCTGATCCTATACATTGTAGTGCTGAAAACATTTCTTCCTTCTTTTCTTAATCCCTTCTAAAGTTAACTGCATAGGGCAGTGATCACTTATTCCTTCAAGTAGAAACTTATATTGACAAGCTGACATTATATCAAGCCATTTGTCATTGATGAAAGCCCAATCAATCTTGAAAAATATTCTCTATTTAGAGTTTTTATCATTCCAAGTGTATCTGTTGCCCTGTTGAGGAAGCTCAATCAAACCATAATAATCCACACAATTCCTGAACTCCATCACTTCTGCCCAAGTGACTTGATTACCTCATATTCTATCCTCCTATGTTAATACTGCATTAAAATCTCCTAATATGAGCCAAGGTCTAGAACAAACTCCATGTTGTTACATAATACTATCCCATAACTCTCTTCTTTCTTCTTTGTATTGAAGGCATATACCACTGTGAGCAGAAAAGTCAGTTGTAGTGGAATGTAAGTCACCTCACAAGTCACATTTTGGGCAGTAATATTTGTAGGAACTACATCATAGTAATCATGTCTCCATGTCAACCAAATTCTACCATTATAGTGTGCTTCAAGATTGATAATATAATGCCAACCTCTAAACAAACTACCATCAATTTGTTCAATCTTATTCTTCTTTATTTTTATTCTAACAAACCTACTATACCAGCCTTAGCTTCAGTGCAAAGGATTTTAACTTCCTTCTGCTTATTTGGGGCATTCAAGCCCCTAACATTCCAACACAATAAGTTAACCATTCCTAGTATAGGGCATGGTTCCTCCTCCCCCTTTCTCCCACTGACACTTTTGATAGCAGTTTGTACAAGGCTGACATTTGCAGGCTTATCCAAAATTTGATAAGAGTTGGACTTTTCAATTTGTCAAATCTGTTTAGGTGGGCCTCTTCCAGTTCTTAGAGGAGTGATCCATTCATAACTAGTTGATGCTTGTTTCTGAAGCACTTCTGTCTGTTCCTTACCCTTTTTTATCTCCCCTGCTTCATTATCCTACTACTTCTTTTGCACTAACTCTGTTGTTGACACTGCCCTATCCTGTTGCACAACTGGCTTATTCTTCTTCTTACATACCTCCTCTACGTGCCCATAGGCATGGCAATAGGTACACATAGTTGGTTTCCAATTATAGCTCACTCTTTGTTCAATGAGCTGACCTTTCTCATTTCTAAATAACAGCGTATCAGGTAGTTGAGCATCCAACTCCATCTCTACTATTATCCTTGCAAACTGTAGTCCTACCTTCTTCTCAGTGTTGATGTAACGCCCCGGCCGGTCGTCTCATGAGTTACCGCTTCGTTTTCTCCATTTTTGCTTCTTTATGTGTTGTTCAGCTGTATTTCATTGCATCGTGTTGGTTAGTTTGGGTTCGAAGTGGTTTTGTAGAGAAATGAGACACTTAATCTCTTAAGTTGGCCTTTTAGTTGGAAAAGTCAACCGAAAGTTGACTTGTGAGTAAATGATCCCAGAACTTAATTTTTATGGTTCGGATAGCTTTGTGAGGTGATTTAGGACTTAGAAGCGTGATCGGAAAGTATTTTGGAGGTCCAGGATAGATTTAAGCTTGAATTGGCGAAATTGGAATTTTGGCGTTTTCTGGTTGGTAGTGGAGATTTTGATATAAGGGTCGGAATGGAATTCCGGAAATTGGAGTAGGTCCGTTGTATCATTTGGGACGTGTGTGCAAAATTTCAGGTCATTTGGACGAGGTTTGATAGACTTTTTGATCAAAAACGGAATTTGGAAGTTTTTGGAATTCTTAGGCTTGAATCTGAGGGTGATTTGATGTTTTGATATTGTTTTGAGCATTCCGAAGGTTGGAATAAGTTTGAATGATATTATGGGATGTGTTGGCATGTTTGGTTGAGGTCCTGAGTGCCTCAGGTGAGTTTCAGGTGGTTAACGGACCAATTCTTGGTTTTGGAGATTTGCAGATTTTCTGGTTTTTGTTGCAGAAGAAATTGTTCTTCGCGTTCGCGAAGATAGTCCTGCGTTCGCGAAGAAGAGCTGGGCCTAGAGGAGAAAATGTTCTTCGTGTTCGCGAGCCTGAGTTGCATTCGCGTAGGTTTGGATTCCAGTGAATCGCGAACGCGTGAGAGGAGTCACGTTCGCGTAAGGTAATTGGAGCAGCTGGGACCCTAGGAGTTTTGTGCATCGCGTTCGCGTAGGTAAGGTCGCGTTCGCGAAGGCTTGGACAGTTGAAGCTTCGTGTTCGCGTGGAGGATGTCGCATTCGCGAAGAAGGAATATTTGGTCAGTGGAATTTTGTGCTTCGCGAATGCGAGGGAGCTACCACGTTCGCGAAGAAGGAATTAATCCCAGGGCAGAATGTTTAAATAGTTGCCTTTGGGATTTTAGTCTATTTTCCACCATTGTTGGGCGATTTTGAAGCTTTTTGAGAGGTATTGAAGAGGGAATCGAAGGGAAACACGTGGAGGTAAGATTTTTGAACTCAATACTCGATTCTATGGTGATTTTTACCTAATTAGACATGAAATTAGTGAGATTTAAAGCCTAAAATTGGGGAATTAGAGTTTGAAATTAGAGAGTATAAATTAGGGATTTGAGGGACCACTTGAGGTCCGATTTTAATGTTCTTGGTATGTATGGACTCGTGGGAAGATAAGGATTTTAGTGATGTGATTTTTATCGAAATTCGAGATGTGGGCCCGGGGGTCAGGTTTGGCCAATTTCGGAATTTTTGAGTTAATTTGATTATTTTCGCTTAGGCTTGGTTCCTTTAGCACTTATTAATGGTATGATACTGATTTTGGTTAGATATGGAGCATTTAGAGGCCGGTTCGAGGGGAAAAGGCATCACGGGCTAGAGTTTGGGCTGGATTGAGGTAAGTAATGATTGTAAATGTTGTCCTGAGGGTATGAAACCCCGGATTTCACATCGTTGTGTTACTTTGAGGTGACGCACATGCTAGATGACGAGCGTGGGGTCGTGCACCGTTGGGGATTGTGACTTGGTCCGTCCCGTACGATTGTTAAGTCGCGTATTTGATTGAAAACTGTTTGATATCATCGTGTTTTGGAAAGTATTACCACGTTTTGGGCTGAAAGCCATATTTGGGCCTCGTGCCAACTGTTTTGGACCCTTAGGGGCTTTTTTTTTACTGCTATTCCTTACTGTTTTGACTTAATATCTGTACTCAGTCATGTTGTATCCTACTGTTTTCATAACTCAGCCGTATTTACTCCGTTTTGATATTTTTAATGATATTTTGGGCTGAGCATCATGTTTTATTGTTGCCCGATGGGGGCTTGAGAGATTTCTGACTAAGTGAGGCTGAGGGCCTGTGTTGTGAGAATATTATGGGATCGGGTTGTATGCCGCAGCATGTTGTACGGATTTGTGATATATGAAAGGCCGAAGGCCTGATTTGTTATGCCACGAGATGACTTGTGATAACGCTTGGGTTGTAGGAGCCCTTCCGGAGTCTAAACACCCCAGTGAGCGCGGGTACCCAGTGAGCGCGGGTACCAGTGTGAGAGATGTGATATTGCCCAAGGGGCTGTTGTTGTTTCATGTTGTTGCCCGAGAGGATGATTACGAGTGATTGTGAGATAGCCCGAGGAGCGGTTGTGGTACATGTTTTGCTCGAGGGGTTGTTTATGTTTCTATCCTTTTACTCACTGTTTTCATCACTCGTTTGAAACTATTGAAAGATGTTTTAAAAAGGTTTTACTGAATAGAGTTGTTTTTACGAGTTTTATTGATTTACTATATTGTTCTACACATATATTGTTTTGTTGTAGTGCTATGACGTGAAATTTCTTATTTTCTTACTGCTCAGTTGCTTTTACTTTTATTACTTACTGAGTTGGCGTACTCACATTACTCCCTGCACCTTATGTGCCGATCCAGGAGTCTCGGGGCGCGATAGTGAGTGCTGATCAGTCTTCCAACAGGTCTCCGGAGTTGACTAGGTAGCTGTTTGGCGTTCGCAGCCCAGTGCTTCTCCTTCCTGTCTTATTTAGATTGTCTTAGTATTTTATTTTCGAACTATGTTGTCCTTTCTTGTTCCTAGATGAGTTGTAGTTGCTCATGATTGGTGACACCCCGTTGTCGGGCTTGTGTTATATTTTCGCACTGCTTATTTTAACTTACATTATGGGATTATAGTTAATTTATAGCTTAAAATGACTTATTACGAATTTCTGGTTGGTTTTGGGGTTTGTGTCGGCTGGCCTAATTTCACGTTAGGCGCCATCACGATCGGGTCAGTTTTAGGGTCGTGACAGTTTAGATCCACCATTAAAGGTATCTCTACCAAGCTTTCTATCATACTTATTCTTTTAGGACTCCAATACTTGAAGTCAAGGCCTGGAATTTCACCCAAATTGGCACAGTGAGCAATTCTTCCCTAGTGAATTCTAAATCTGGGCTCCATGCTTTTACAATAAAAGGTTTATTGTCAAAATGGTATATCCCTACATTCAATACCTCTTGTTTTGCTACAGTAGAGTCAAACCTAACAAGTACAACTCCATTTTTAAGAATTGAGATTTTGTTAATACGAAGCTTAGCCCATAACTTCTTAACATATCCCTGAATCACTGTAAAAGGAGAATGTGCACGTAGTACGTAGCAAACTATCGCATTCTGTCAATACTGAATTTCACTAGAAACATCTTCTAGTTCAATTGCACCTACACGAGACTCACCATGTAGCTTAGGTTGAACATATTCTAATTTGAATCCAGCATTGAAAGCTTCACAATGTTGAATTCATCCCAAATTGAATTCCTCTTTTCCGGTAGCCCTAATTCTTCCTCCATTTCTTCTGCCCATGATTTCCTTCCATTACCAGGAGAATTACTCGGTCCTTCATTCCTTGGGTTGTGGATAGCTTCATTCCACAAATTCATCGCTTGCTTTTGCTTCAATTTCTCTCCATTTGCAATGTCCTCTACTGTTACATTGGTTACCGTTTCATTGGAATTGTTTGGAGAATTTGATCTTTCCTGCTTCGATCTAGTGTTAGTACTCGTTCCTGCTTGGAATTTGGCATGTGTTGATGCCTACATTGCCATTAATTCCTTCTGAGATGGTACACGAGCTCTCCTTCTCATGGCTGGTGCACGTTAGAGTAACCTGCGCCGAGAGAGAATCATGCCGCCGCCAGAGCGTTTTTCTCTATTAATATATAGTTTTTTCCTAACAACTTTGAACTAAAAATTTCTGTATTTAATATGTATATAATATTAATTTAGAACTCAGTAACTTGAAGCGCTTGAATCTTGAACTTAAATTCTGGTAGCTTCGCCTCTGACTGAGAACCATCCATTTTCAGCATCAACCATAATATGTGTGTATGTATGTACTGATATTCACAACACCGCGCATAAGAACCTTCTTCTCTGTAAATTCTTTTTGTAAAAAAGATCGGTAAACTTTGATGGCCATGATTAATTTCATGTATGATTAATGATACATTAAAGTACAAAATTTTTAGTACCTCCGAATAGTAAAATGACTTTTTGATTATTTTTCTTTTTGTTATTCTTTCTGTCCTACTTCTTGTGGCTTTGTTTGATGGAAAGAAGAGATGATGTTCAGGCAAGGAAGAAAGATATTTGAAAATTATAACTTAAAATAAGTCAAGAATATTTGTGTTGCTATAAATAATTTCATTCATTAAAAGTAAAATAAAAATTTTAAAATTCATTTATTTTAAATATAAAAAAGTTATTATCTTTTTTATTTATTTTATAAATAGATTAAGACAAATGTGTCACATAACTTGCATTTGAAGGATGATTTGTATATTGGGAAAATTTCACGTAAAAATAATTGAGCTCCCTACTTTTTAATTTTATAGCCCATATTTCAATTTACAACAAATCAGCCCAAAAATAATAGGCTAAGATTCAACATCCAACTCCAATAGATTCTCGAAATTACTATTCAATTTTAAAAAAAAAAAGATTGTTCAAACTTTTAATTTAATTTTCGAATCAGAAACTGTGACTGAAATATTAGTTCAACAAACTAACTCTATTTGGGTGGTGAAAATTAGATATTTAACAAGCTAAAATATGTGAATTTAAATTTTGAATTTGTGAGAAATTTGGAGTGAGTGTTATTTAGACTTGTTAGAAATAGTATAAGGAGGTTGTATATAAAATTTGAAGTCATTTAATGGAGATTTGGATTGGTTTTGAACAAGAATTGCAACTGGATGTCGTGAAAGAAGTTCGTTTACAAACGATTGTACAAAGGTGTATAAAAGTGTATAATAGTGTATAAGATGTGTTTATACACTCATATACACTATTATACAAGATTATACATAATAATACAAAAAAATGACTTCGTCTTCTTCCTTGCGTCTTTGCTGAAATTAAACTCAAATCTACTCCAAATCACTTCAAATTTAAATTTTGAACTTCTTTTGATATTTTCAATCAACCGGAACAACACTCAATCCAAACAACTAACTGTTGGTACCCAATTTTGCCCTCATATTTTATAATGTGTCCTATATACTTTTAAAATATCATTTTGCATCATTACCTAATTTACAAGGGTCATATAAATATTTTTTATAATTTTCCATAATTTTTAAAGATTTAAAATTGATTTTCTTATATTTAAATTGTTCAAATATTTATTAATTACTCCTTCAGATTATTTTGTAATGACTTAATCATCCAAATTTATTTTTTGCATATACATATATGCCTTATAATATTTTACTTCGTTTTATATAATTACATATGCATTTTTCGAACTATTATTGCATTTTTTGCAATAATAACATGTACTTTACAATTAATTGCACTTTGTCATTTTATTCATAGTCAAAATAATTTCTTATATTTTTATTACCTGCATCTGTTATTTTAAAATGCTAAGTTGCATAAATAATATTTTGTATATATTTATTTAACTATTTTATTAAATTATTTTCCCTTAATTTCACGTATTTAAAATCCAACTCAATTCCCAAGCCAATTTTCGGACCAAATAGGCAGCCCAAATACCCCAAAATCCTTGGCCTAATAACTCTAGCCCAAACCAAACGATCCATGTTACCAACCTGATCGAAACCCATTTAAACGACATGCCCCGCATTTTTTTTTATCCTGGCCATTGATCTCTCGAGATCAACAGGCCCACGATCACCCTACCCCTTTAATTAAACAAACCCCACGAAACCCTACCCATTTCTCCTGAGACAGCCGACCCAAATCTTTGCTACTCTTCTCTTCTCTCTTCTGAAGAACCCTAGCCGCTTCTTCCTTAATTCCCTCTCATAGTCCCGTTGATAATGGGATTCCACCATTATTTGCTTACCATATTTATATTTCTTCGTCACTGGTTACACGTTTATGGTATTACTTAGGTACTTGCACAATTTTGGCAAGTATCATCTCTAAATCGGACTGGAATCGACCTCATTCTTATTTGGACAATATTTTGTCTATATACATAAAGAAAGACTTGATTTTTCATACCAGTTTGCCGATTTTTGAGTTTCGAACCCTAACTAGGGTTTTGATGTTCGATTTCTTTCCTTTCCAATTACTCTACTGATTGCATGTGATGTTTTACTTTTTCTTATTTATGTTTGCTTGATTTCTTTCCTTGTTTACTCGCCTGATTCAACACTATATAAATCCCTCCCCTAATTCCCTAGTTAAGACCTTAGTCACTGAAATTAACCACTATTAGTCTCTTATTCCCTCATTCTATATTGTTCTGAACTTTAGCTCTTGGCTGGCTAAAAGTCAAGGCCACTAAAATTTGACTAGTTAACCTTTCTTAGTGGGAGCACTGCCCGGTGTTCATCTAAAACCCTTGGGAACTCTGAATCTCTAAGATTATTTTTGGTTCTACTACTCTATTGACGTTTGAATTACCACTGAGACTGTTATGCCGATTTATTTGTCTGTCAATTGATATCTGGTAAGTTCTTTGACCTTAGCAGTTCATCCTCTTTCGTTTGTGTTCATACTAAGTATATTCATGCCATTGAAACTTTTGTGAATCAATATGTTCCTATGCCGTCTATGTTTGCAACCTTATTAGCTCTGACATTGTTTTGTGACTCTGAACTCTTTTTCTAGCATTTGAACTTGCCTACAACTCCCAACTTTGATATCTGTCTATTACATGTGCTCAGTATGAATGATTTTTGACCCTCTTGATCATGTTTACCCTAATATGTGTGTTCGAATGCATGTTACCTGCTACTCTCCCTGAGTTTATTCCCTACTTTGTTCTGCATCCTTACAATAGACCAACTCATATGTTCTAATGTATCTGATACACTACTGCGACCAATTTTTAATTGTGGTGTTAGCCAATTGTGAGCTTTACTGTGTGTTCCATGCTTAATTCAATCCTATGTTATACTTATAGTCTATAAGGTGAAATGTAATTTCCAGCCTTTATGTGGCAATCTAGTCCTTGATGTGCCCTTGACTATTGAGAGGTTTGGCTCTACTAAACATGTTTAATCTGCTATGCTATGCTGATGTTTGTTGTTTGCTTTCCTACCTTGTCCTAGATTGTTATGTCAACCAAACTAATGCTTAGGAAGTCCATGCTTAACTTGTTACTCTTCTGATCCTGTTGTTCATGAGGACCTGTTATTATGTGTTTGTGAAACTATTATGTATCTACTAACTTGCTCAACCCCGCATTCCTTAGGACTAGTCAAGACCTTAGGAGTAAATCTTAGAGTTGACATCCTTTCACCACACATGGCCAATAGTATTAGATTTAATGATTGCTTTCTCTTACTATTGAAGTTTGATATCATCTCTTATACTTTGATTAATTTTCAGTATGATAACTTTCTCCTGTTAAGTAATTACTCGACCATGAATTTATATTGTCAGCCCTTATGTTAAACCTACTATATTAAGGTTGTTCTATGTTGATCCCTTAGCTTTCACGATTAGATCTCTTGTTTGAAAATTGCCTTAAGCTGTTCTTGACCATATTAGTGTTTGAAACTTCTCTTGAAAGAGTCTGCCATTCTATGATGATCAATCATGTCCCCTAAACCTTTAAAATACAAACATGAACTTGTCTTATGTGTGCCCTTCTAGCATGCCACACGAATTTGTCTACATGTCTTAGTGATAATTAGTTTTATAGTCCTAAGAACTAAGTGGATGGGCTTCCTGCTCTGCTTAATTAA